AGGAAGGGAAGCCCTAGTGTGAGGCTTACTGTATATACAAGGCAAGCAGAAGAGAGATTAGGACACTTAACCTTCCTCCTGAACTCCTGTTATAAACTCCATGTATATTACTGAGAACACTTTTCAGGTTTATGGTGTTTAAGAGCAAATATTCACTATGAGCCATGGGAATGCTGCGGGTGCCCTTTAGTTCTGCATTTTCACATTCTCTGGCTCATCAGGGGTTATTTCCTTTTAGAAATTAGGCTTGTAAACTGGATTCAGCAAAGAGAACAGAGTGGTATTAGATTTGTGTATCCTACTGCCTCGTGTTTATTCATACCATGAAATCAGATGAATAAAAAGGCATAACGAAGCTCTGTAGCTTTGCGCAACTATTATAATCTCAAACATTTCTATGTCCACTCAATATAATCAGCTAATGGAGACCTTTAAAGGCCTTAAATTGGTTGAAATATGTAACTCAATCAGATAATTCATTAGGTCTGTATCAGAGGTTAGAAGGAAGCTGGAAAGAATTCATGGCAACAGAGGACCAGAAGCTAGCCTTTGATCTAGATGCAGTCAGTCTCTAAAAGCAAAACTATGCCAATGGCATTAACACATATGAAAAACAGACTAGTGTGCATTCAGTTTGAATGGTTATATCTCTAATAATTACATAATTTCAAATGAGTTAAAGTGGACGCATTTGGAAATTCATTCCACCATCATTAGAGTTCAGCTTTTAGCAGCCAGACATTTTTCTTTCATAATGAGGCGATTATAACGCAGTTTAATCCAGTGGCGTTACCAAGGTATGCAGCCTCATGTGAGAAGTAACCTTATAATGAGAAATGAATTTAAGGCTTTCAACTTAACAAAACGCCTTTGGCTGTATTATAACCATCATTGAAGTAACCTTATTAATAGCAAAATATTGTGCATTTGCTGTGTTGATAGCATGAGAATGATCATTTGCACTGAAGTTTTTTTTTTTTCGCTGGTAAATAGTAGTGTGTCTCAATCTAAAGTCAATGTTAGGTGACAATGATGACCTCACTATCGCTATTTCCAGAAGAGTTTTTACTAGCGGTGCAGTAATGCCATTTGTCACTGCCAGACACCCTGACAGAAAACAAAACAGGTTCAATATTTAGATGACAAATATTTTGCTAATTATGTTTTCCTTTTGAAAATCTGACACTGGAGACTGTATTTGTTGTTTTGTTGAACATACACTGTGAGGTGAATAATGTGCTACCACACAAGAGGAACTCCAATTTCATGTTGCACGCCTGATAGGGAGTAAAGCACAAGCAGGCTGTTGAGATGGAGCTTTGGATAGAGGGAGGAAGGCAGTGATGTGGGATGCTATTAGTGCAGGCCACACTGATATCTCCACAGATTTCTGTGAAGACCTGTGGCCTAATAAATATTCTTCTTCTCCTTTATTGCACCCAAGCCAGAAGTCTTTCATGTTCCTGAAGTATAAGATCATACTCTGAAGATCTGGAAGCAACAACAATCTGCAATAACACTATTAAAAAACATGCAGTATGTGTTCGAGGTCTTATAACACTGCAGCTGTTCTATAATTTCACTTATCAATCCACCTCTTGAGATATCTAAAAGGAAATTGGGGTGCACTTTTTTTCTACTACAATAAATACAAAATACAAATAAGACAAAACAAAGAAAATATAGAGAGCAGAAAGAGATGATCATTCTGCGCCTCTTTCAGAAATTTCACACAAATACAGCATCAAAACAAAGGGAGCACATTACTCTACAGGCACGTAGCATGACTTTCATACTTTCATTTTGAGTACATGGGGGTGTCACGATTGTAGTCCCTCCTCCTTAAGGGCGCCCTGGCTCTTCCTTGTTTGCCCTATTCCCCACACCTGCCCCTTGTTCCAGTCTCTTTCCTGTCCCCCTTTAAAAGCCAGACGCAGTCGCCAATCGTGGCTCTGCATCTGTTTTCCACATCGTGCGAGCCCGGGACCTGGTTGCGCCTGGCTCCATTACGTTTTTAAGTTTCTAAGTCTGTTCCTGTTCCTGTTCCCCTCACCGTTCCAACCCGGTTCCTGTTTTTAATCCCGCGTTTTGGATGGATCACCTGGACATGGACTTTTGCCCATTTCTTGGATTTGCCTATGGATTTATTGTTCGGATTGTTTGCCTCGGCCACACCTCCCCGGATCACCAGCACTGCATGGACACTCCCCCCTGTTTTCATCCCCGTATTCCTGCATGACTTTTACCCCAGTGTTTTCTCACAATTCTGGATTGTGTCGTCCGCATAGGGTCCAAAAAAGAACTGTTCGTTACAGGGGGTTTTCCATTGACACTGGTGGAGGTTAACTGTAATAATGATTATTTCTTCAATATTAAATGCCACTTTCTGTTGTGTTTTGATGCTAACGGCACCTTTTTCTAGCTTCTTAAAACATATCAAAATCTGAATGATTGCATTCTCTTTAAATTAATATCAAGGCAGTTAAAATACCATGAAATGTTGGCAGCATGTGATTCATCTTTTTGTAATGTTATTTAATGTGGAGATCTTCTGATTGAGGCTCTCTTACTTTGAAAATCTGGCTTCACACAATGGGCTGTAGAGTCTTGCAGCACCATACCTGTGAAATGTGATAGTGACCCTTCACTGTCCACACTCTCAAAATCTTCTGTGCCAAAATATCTCTCTTTTCCCTAAACCTTGTTTGTGTTGGTCGTGCATTGTGTGTATTTCTTGAAAATAAATAAAATTAGATTAGATTATTAAAATGTTCAATACCTAACATGATTTTGCCTTCCATTTTTTAAATGGAAAATGTTGTACTTCTTTACAATTTATTAGGATCATTGAACAGATGTCAAGGACTCTGTGTTTTTCAGATAACAACTGGCTCTGGCAATGAGTTTCTTCTTCAGGCAGAGAGTTACTCCACAATTTCCAAATGGCATGACGCGATTGGAAAAGCAATTGAGTGTGAGGTGAGTACTTGTGACATTGAAGAGTCAAAGACTATAATACACCTTCATTTTGAGCTAATTTTAGGAGCTAAAATTTTTATTTTCCAGTTAGTCATTTGCACATGTAATCCTCATTCTTGTCTGTGTATTCAGTGATCGGTGGAGATCTATGGAGAAGTTTACGTTTTGTTTAAAACATTTTTTATTTTATATCCCTTTTTCTAGTCAAAGAGTGGGAAGGTGCACTCTAGTATTCGTAAATCTTCAAGCACAGAGTTTCTGAACAGATGTGGATCTGAGTCACCCGTCAGCAAGGAGCACAAACCAGAACACAGAAGGTCACTAAGTAAGTCAATTTATTTACACTGTATTTCAAGAGCATGTGTATCACTTGGACACGATTTGTTTCACTCTGTTTTACAGGTAGTTCAAAATTCTATTAGATAAGCTAAAAAACGTTTTTTAAGTAGACCAAAAAGAAATTTGACATTGATATTTTCACTTAATAAGGAAGTTTAAAATGTCTTATTAGTAAAGAGTGTCCTGAAGTTTAGCATTGAATAATGAGTAAATTTAATGCAAAACTAGGTTTTCATTTCCTCTTTTGGGGGTCAGTTCTCTGTTTCCTGGGGTTCTTGAAAGCACTGGGCTGTACCCAGCGGAGAAGAAATGCAGGTTTGTTCCTGGCTCCAGGAGCCTCAGCACTTCTCCCTTGTCCCCACCCCTGCCCCTGCAGCACCTCGTCCTCACGGCCAGACTGTCGATTCCTCAGGCGATCTGGTTCAAGCCGAACATGATCAAGTTCATCCGAAGCTATTGAGCTCTAGAAGAAATATTAGATTAGTGCTTAACTCATGTCTGCTGCAAAAGTTTTTTTATTAGAGAATACTTTAGCAAGTCACACTGAAACTAAAAGCTTTGTCCAGGATACAACTGTGCCTCATTTTTCAGATGTAAAAATCATGAAATACATGTTGTTGTGGAATTTGACCCAGATGAGAGTTGGCTCCAATCGCACGAATCAGGTCCACGTGGGCTTGAGGTAATGGCAGCTGGGTTAGTCAGCTGCACACCAACAGCGCAGCTTAGCCAGGGCTTGTTTACAGGCCTCGCAATACTGCAGGGAGACAGGTAGGTGGGCACTGCGCCTGCAGCACTGCACATGGAGCAGCCACACATGTGCTGCTTCAACAGCTCAAATGACCAATCAATCTGTCACACATGCCTTTCAAAAATACTCTTGCTGATAAAAGAAGCAGAAGAATGGCAGCATTGTAAGCTATTTGCACCAAGCTATTTGCAACCAAATCATGACTGGCTACTAATGCCAGAGCATTAGCAAACGGCAGCATTATTTGAATTCATGCTATCACAGGCATCGGACATTTAATTGTGCTGCAGAGTGAAGATCATTCTAAAAAGAGAGAATTATTAGTTAGACAAATTAGACAATGACCCTGTTTGCACTTGTTTATTATTTGCTTCTTAAACAATGGAGCTAATAGAGCTAAGGAGCTAAAAGAGCTATTGTTCTGTGCATTATATTGAAATTTATTAACTTGTACCCATAAAATGTGGGAGAAATGTTGACTTCAATTAATTTTTCACCAAAAAGTGACATGATAATATGCTAATGAGTGACATGTCAGCATATGTCATGCAACAATTATGCAAATCTCTGCCTATTATGTAAATCCACATGAAATGCTTGAAATCACTGACCCACAAGTATGTTTGGCGGTTTTATTAGGTGTGGGTCAGCTCAATCCTGTCTGAAATCTTGCCGTGTAGAAACAAAAATATAGCAACCATGATGTAAAAAGGTCATTAGACTTTTCATATGATACAAAATATCAGAACAATTGAAGACAGTACGATTCCACAGTGATTAAACAATATGCTGTATATATATTTCTCCTTTCAATATTACTAATATGCTTTAGAATGAGATGTAGAATGTATATTTTAGTGTTTTTTTTCTCCTGAATGGTTCCTATAGCAGAGTTATATCAAGACATATCGGCTATAAGGATGTGACCACATCTACTCTTCCCTTTAGCTCTCTTATAGCAAGATTATATTTCAGCAGGTGAGACAAATGTAAGTAATACCAACACAAGCAATAATGTTATGATCAGTGACATCTGACCCCCCAGTTAGAAAACATTGAGGGAGGCCATCATGGAGATATTAACTGGCTCATGCAGGAAACAGAGGGTAATTCTGAGCTGAAAAGTACAGCACAAGGAACACAATGTGACTGTGGCTTGCCCAGGTGTGCACAGCAGTGAGGAGAAAGCAGGAAATGATGGAGGAGGATAGAGCTCCTGCTGTAAACGATGATATCATACAGTCAGTTGTATCGCATTGAAAGCAGATGAAGAACAATAATAATTAAATATCTTTTTGGGTAAAAAAGCTTTTGAAATTTTAAGAGGATAATGGTCTGGGCCGCCATGTCAATTTTTTAATACAGAGAACATTTGGTGTGAACATATTGTTACAGACGAATCTGATAAGCTTACAGATGTTGAAGTTTTTTAATATATACTGTAAATAAGGCACTATTTAAGAGCTACTATTGAGCTTTCTTAAAAAATGTATCTTTGTAAGTTTTAGGGATATAGATTGTAAATGCAGCATAGAGATACACAGGAAAAATACTGGATTTATAGAAATAAATCTATATATAAATGATCATGAGAAATTGCATGATGCTTATATGATAGGGCCATTGATAAAAAAGCCATTAATGGCAATAGTCTTGGTGTTAAGATCGATGTGCATCTTCATCATTTCCATAGTCAACAGAGAAATGTCACTTTTGTTGTTCTGTATTTTTGAAAACACAATAAAATGATTTTAAAAAACAGAAGATGAAAATTGCTGATATTGTCCTGTTCTCATCAGTCATTAGTTAGTGATCATCAACATTGTTGTCTTTTTTTGTACAATATATTTCTCAAATAAATTAAATACATCAATATAATAGATTTGATCGCTTGCTGCTGTAAATGCCAGTTGGAATTTTTTATTGGTTTGCAGTTCTTCTGAACAGTTAGTACTTTAATCTGAGGATAAGCTGAAGCTATTAGGTTAAAAGTCCTGAGAGCTGTACTTAACAGTGTTTGTGAATGTGGAATGTGTCACTACAGGTGTCGTCTGGACAAGGGCCAGTAGAAACATGTTTTGATCCAGAATAAATCAAAACCTTAGCTCACCTGTCAATCACACAGCACAGGGCCTTGCTGAAGCTTGTTATGTACCAGATGCTTCTCCCTTTGTCCAATAGAAAACCAACACCATGAACTGTACTTGGTCTGGAACTGGGTTTGTTCAGTGAATAAGTTGCTTTATTTATTAAATTTGAAAATTAGTATTTTAGCATATAGCTAATAAATTTTATATCCTCAAAATGTTATCATATAATCATTTACAAATAACATTATACATACATCAGCATTACCACCCTGTAGCCTGATCAGACACTTAGCAAGGCTGGCCTGCTCAGTACTGGTATGGGAGATCTTCACTGTAAGCTAAGATCACTTTATTAGCCATATACAATTTCTTGCATAAGAATTTGTCTTCTCGCACACAGACAGGAATGGAGAAGCTTGGGGTCAGAGCACAGGGTCAGCCATTTATACGGCACCCATGGAGCAGTTGGGGTTAAGGGCCTTGCTCAGAGGCCCAACGGAGTAGGAATCTTCTGCCGGCCGTGGGAAACAAACCAGCAACCTTCCAGCCACAGGCGCAGAGCCTTAGCCACAGAGCCACCATTTCACCCCTTCTCCAGGACGTTCAATCCAATGTCCCATTATGGTGATTGGGAACACTGTGTGGTAGGAGGTCTTATCCTCTTCATGAGAATTTACAGCAAAGTCCTAACTACCAGGTCATTAAAGACTCCATGGTACTATTAGTAAGAGTACTGGTGATGATGACCAGGCTTAAGTTCACAGGGCTAGTACAACCTTGCCTCCCAAAAGTTACCTCCTAATTGAACAGGAGAAGTAAATTCTTACATCTCCACCTAACCTGCTGTATAGTGGGTCTGCTGGCTGTCTATACAGCAATACATGGAAATAGTTATTAATAGCATTAACATGTAATTCTTCAGTTGATCTCCTTCACACATGGTGGTGTGAACTACTGAACAGTTTTTGAAGGTTTAACTTTGGATGATTTTGGCGTGCTGTTTGGCTGGGGATGCTGCAGGTATGATGAGTGAAGTTTGGAAAAAAAGAAGATCTGTCAGGAGACGATGTGCAGAATGGGAAAACACAAGAGGGGGCAGTTCCTTCCATTGCACTGGTTTGGTTACCAGCAGAGAATCAGTATCAGACCTGCTTATTTCTTGAATGATCCCAAAGGAACATACGTTTAGTTACCAAATTAAATTCAGAGCACAAATAAAGATATACAGTAGAACCAATGTTCTGTATCTCTTCACCGGTCATGAAGTACTTCTGAATAGGCCTGGGGCTGCAGTTTGGAGTTACACCAGAAGAGGAGCTGGCACCTCCTGAATAGGTTTGGTATGTGACCTCTCTAAGTCTCTCCATCCCCTTCCCATGAGACCTTGCTTCTTGATTTGCAATGACAAGACGATACATTCTCTGCTTTCCTCAGACTTGTGTGTTTTACTCTGATTATTATTCAAATCACATCTTCATTTACCTTCTGATTGTCTCTGTGTTTACAATTTGCTCCCTCAGCCCATTTGTTATCCCTAACTATTATACAGCTCTCCTTGGCAGCAGCTCACCAATTAATTGTACCTGTTACTGAGATATGTTTTCAAGTCCCTATCCTAAAGGACATGAGATGCATTTTGTATTTGCTTCTATTTAAGTTATGTGAAAAAGAGAGTTGTGTGAAAATTAGCAGAATTATTATCCATCCTTGCAAATTAGAATCTACAGGAGTAACTAGAGTTTTCTGTTTTGTTTTTGGAAGTTTTATTTGATTGAAAATAACACTATTAATAGCTTTATTAGATTTATTTTTCCCTTTACTATGTCACATACATTCTTCTATTTTTTTCTAATTTATCATACATGTGTTAGTCATTACCAAATAGTGTCTTTAATTAACAATGCATTACCATATATAATGATAGACATAAAAGTATTGATTAAAGGTATTAACTTGTTATGATACCTCTTCTTCAAGATTCACCTTTATAATCTTTGCATTGTATTTACATTATTCACGAAAATTATGCCTTTTATGAGGTTTTTTGCTTTGTTTACTGCAACATGTTTCTCAAACCACAGTTCAATTCTACAAGACCTCTAATTCCAGCAAACAAATCCGAGACCACAGAAGCAATACACAAAG